CGTCCAGCTGGAAACACTTCACGCAAGTCGAGCTGCCCGAGATTCACAGAATTTACACAAAATGTTAAATTTTTTGTGATTTATATCGTTATCAGATGATAGATGTCTTAATATCGGGATATGAGATTATGGTCATATCGCACAGCCCTACGTACATGTACTAGTTATTATTACTAGAGTACTGTGCGAAAGTTTTAAGCAGTTAAAATGTCTCACACAAGACCATCGGAGGCATCTGATTAGTGTACAAGTCATGCAAATTAACATAAACATACGGAGTCATTAGGAACTACCGATAAAAACATGCAAATAATCCAGAGTCATAGACATAACATGTCCGTCTGGAATTAATATGTAAGAAACTCACATAGAAGCTCCAGACAGTTTTTTTTTTTAGATGATTGAAACAACGTGCCACCCAATACCATGAAAAGCTGTTGACCTAAAAGAATCTGTGTCTTGGTTTAAAGGTAAATGTTTGCACCAAATATTGATTTTTTTCATGGCATTCATTCTTAAACAATCCTTGCTATATTCAAAATGTTTTTAGTTTTCAGTGTGGTGGGAAAAAAGAAAGAAAATAAGATACTCCAAATTTCAGGAATGGATAACACGCCTTTAGTGATTAAAGACTAACCTCATTATAGTGAGACTGGTTGCTGCTGTTGCTGTTTGCCACACATCTGGAAGTGTTGTCAGAGCTCAGGTAAGTGGTGTTTGTCACCTGCAGCCAGATTCTCCTGTATGCATACTGTTGCACAAGCGGATAGTAGAGGAAAGTGGCAAAAGCATACAGGGCCACCACCGGCTCCACGAGGAAAAGCCTCTTCATGTTTAAGGGCTAAAAAGTATCCCGTGAGAAGATATGAAAGACAGTTGATAGTTAGATTTAAGCCTGAACACAGGTCACAAAAATTAACAATACACTGCACTGTCAGATATTTAAAACAATCAAATACAGCATAATACACAGCTATTGTTGTGGTAAAAATTCAAATGAGAATATCAAACCCAAACTTCTAAGCACATTTTATTTTGCTGAAACTTTTGGATCTTTAACAGTCGTGAAAACAAGTAAACAGGCACCTCCAAAAAACAACCAAACAAAAAAACAAACAGACAAACAAACAAAACAGAGTCTGGTAACAGAGAGTCGAAAGGATCTGCATGGAAGCAAACATACTTTATTTGTTTGGTTGTTTTAGAGACATTGAACTACAACGTCGATAAACAACATCTCCTGACAGGCTGAAACATTACATAGAATAGTAGACAATCTAACGACGTTCCTGCTTGACAAGCTGGAGGAGATCCCACCGGAAGATAGCAGATGAGCATTAACCTTCTCTAGCATGTTGTGAAAAACAAGACAGCGCTACCTCTGTTTGACGCCTACCTGTTTAAAAAATCGTCAGGGTCACATACATCACAATTACTTATGCCCCGGCTAATGTTGTTTATATGAGGAAGGTCGGAGCGCTTGTTTTATACAGAAATGTCAGAGGTTATGAAATGCCGACGTCCCACCTCTAGGCACACACGATTGGACGGCAGTGTTCTCTGTTGGACTCATTGGATTAAAGCAGCTGTCAATCATAGGTGGAATTGCTCAAAACATTTCATGGGTTCTTTTTTTAAGTCGGGTAGTTCATAACTGCATATTAGCACGAATTTAAAATATTGCACGCTTGCAAAACGTTTAATTTACATACTCCAATGCCTTTCTTGTACTAAGGCATGCGCTTTACGTTTCCTTGGCTATTACGGTAACGTGAGGTAGGCGGACGTTTGCGTCGGAATGTACCATTTTGCCAACACACCGGGAAGGATTATGTTGTGACAGCGGAGTTACAACCCGGCGGGGGAGACGGTAAGACCAGATAAATTGTGTTACTTCTACATAATTTCTTTAAAAACCGGTCGGTAGTAAGAATTGCAGAAATGTAAATTATGTTTGCGTGTAAATGTTTTACATGGCCGACTTTGTTAAATGTATATAATAGTAACAGTTTGTCACCCCGGACATGCAGATAAGTGCCACCATCAAAATATTGTAGGCTAGCGAATCATAGCTATCCCTGTGATTCATCCAGCTAACTTGGCTAGCGTTACCAGTTAGCTTTGCAGAGGTTAAAGGCAGCTACTACTACTACTACTTTCGTTTTATACTGTCATCTGTCGTTTTACTTGTCGGTCTAGGATTGCACAAAACCTAGCATTTGAGCTACCTCGCTGGTGAACGTTAGCGTTTGTTCTGCCGTTGCATTACGGAGTCGTGACTGTCCAATGGATGGTATTTAAGCCCCCCCCGGCCTAACTGTCAAGTACCGTTATCAGTCGCAGTGCTCCTGATACTCGCAATCTTGAGTTACCTGCAGTACTAATTTTTTATATTAGTTAATTATAGGCGTGGGCCTGAGCTGCATCTGCACTTGATCTCACGTTAAGCTTCGGATTTCGCAATGCAAGTTTACCCCCTTTCCGGATTAGGGAATTTAATTATTGCCTAATTATGAGTTTAAATAGAAATTTGAAAAAATAAATAAATAAAAGAAACCCCGAAATCGTTAAATTCACAATAAGAGTGTTGCAAAATTATGGAAACGTTTATGTCTTTACCTTTGGTTTAGTCTGTTAGCTATACAAACTGTAATAACTTTGATATTGAGCCAGACATCTTTTAAAAAAAAGTGATCAGATTTGAGGTCACCTTTCTGATGCTTTCATCGTCATTAAATTGCAGGTGTTTTATGTGAGAATATTTCTTTTCTGATCTATTGTCATTCTTTTTTTAATTTCTCTTGTTTTCCAGGTAATAACATAGGGTTTTTTTCCAGCTTGGATCAATTATGGCCTTCAGCAAGGGGTATCGTATTTACCACAAGCTGGACCCACCACCTTACAGTGTCATAGTGGAAACTAGGGCCAGGGAGGAATGCCTCATGTTTGAATCAGCAGCTGTTGCTGTTCTGTGTAAGGCATCTTGTTTGATTATACTATAATAAGATATGATTTACATTCTTTTTAAGCCATTGCACCAAATAAGGAAGCTGTAAAAGCAATGCAACTAAAAGATGAGTATCCCTTATTGTGTAGTGGTGGATGTGATATATTGCTATGATTTTCAAAGGAAGGTGGTGCAATATTTTCCTTAAATTTTGTTGCCATTGTTTGTCTTCTAGCGGCAGCAGAGAAGGATGCTATTAAAAACACATATACCAAGATAGTAGATGCCTATGGAATTCTGGGTGTTCTTCGCCTAAACCTTGGTAAGACCCGAGAATGTGTTTTGCTTGTTGCTCCTAGATGGGTCCATTCCTGATTGACTGTGAACTTGCTCTGATTATTTTCACCATTGCTGCTTTCTTCTAAGCTGCTTTCTCATGTCCTCCATGTGCCCTTCAAGGCTCTTGTTATCACAACAATAAAAAAGCACTGTAAGCGATTAAAGCTGTGATTTGAGTGGCTTGCGATTTTAACCATTTTTTGTCCAGAATTTAATTTTGTAATGTTTCTGTATTTCCTTTCTTAACACTCCAGCACTGCTTCTTCTCCTTCTTTTCTTTATAGTGGATGTAAAATACTTTTTTTCTGTCATATATATATATATATATATATATA